AAGTACTTATGTAGGTAATATCTGTTTTTCCCTCAACGCAAAGAACAGGTCTATAAGAGAGTTATTTCAAAGAAATTATGTGTCTTTGCCTTATATTTACTCATATTGGAATCGTTTTACAGAAGATATTGTGTGGAAAAAGGTTTGGCTTATACCTAATCAATATTTAATTACAAACAAAGTTAAGGAGGTATCATTCAAATTGATACATAGAATATACCCTGTAAAAAATTACTTTATAAAATTTAAAAGTGATATTGATGTTAATTGCACCTTTTGTGACAGTTGCCCTGAAACTGTGGTTCATTTGTTTTGGCATTGCCCATATGTAAGACCATTTTGGCAAAATGTCTGTGATTTTATAACAAGAAACATTGATGACCAATTTATGTTGTTTTGGAAACATATTCTTTTTGGTATTTGGGAGAACAGTAGAATCAAGCATAATCAGAGTTATATAATTAATTTTATTCTTTTAATGGCAAAATTTTATGTTCATAAATGTAAATTCTCCTGTAAAAGACCTTATTTTATTTCATTCAGAAAAGAAATTGAGCTTTATAGATTCACTCCGATTTTCTATGAAGCAAAAAGCAATTAAAACATTGAAAATTTGTAATTGCTTTAATATCTTCATGTAAATCAACAATAGCCCCCTAGTATGAAAATCTTTGTTATATATATGTTGTATGTCAATGTATACACAAATGTTTGTACAAACTTTTTGTTGATAAAAAAATAAATAAAAAATAAAAATATCAAAGTACCGCGTGAACGAATAGAGAGCAGACGGCTCCATGCTTTTGAATTGCTCTCGCGGGACTTTGATGTCATAAACTGATCTGTCTGTGCAGCGCCGGTTCAAGTCGAACAAGCCTGTAGTGTAACGCGTTGTGTCAGGAAGAAAAATAGGGCTAGCTCACAGCTAAAGTTATTGCAGACGCCAGACAGACTCACGGAGGCGATTGGCATCTTACAACTCGCACTTTATTCCACAATCGAACTTGTGTAACTGTCTGTCACACGTTCTACCGTCCACAGCGTTACTTAACAAAATAAGGTAAAAATGAGCATCAAACAGAAATAACCCGCATACATGGGCATGTGTTCGAGGCGCACGACACATACGGCGCGCAGTTCTTAAAGGGGCCACACCTTATTTCCACTCGTACAGTAGGTGGACCGTTCGAATGCAGTAGGCTGTGAGAAAGTGAAAATAGAACTCGTGAGCAGAAAAAGTGTTGTTTGGCAGTACCTTCAGTGAAAGAAGGCAATTCAAGTCGAGGTACATGTTCAATTTGCAATGCCGATTTGTCTCATGGTGGCAAGGACTCTAAATAGGCTACACAACATCGCCGCTGTTAAAATGCATAATGTTGCTTATTCTTTTTTTTTTTTTTTTTACAGTTATAAAAGTAAAAGTAGTGTTTATTATTTACAGTAATAAAATAAAATGAAAAATCCACTTTGTTTACTTCATTAATGTGTTTACTGTGTTAATGGACTGAGGATGAGAGTAGGATTCGGTATTCGGTTTCGGATTCGGCAGAATCTTAACCAGTGGATTCGGTATTCGGCCGAACCCCACAAATCTGGATTCGGTGCATCCCTAGTTACAACCGAGGTATGCAGCAAAGCATTTGTGAAGCCACAACACGCACGAGGACGGATGTTTTCTTTAGGCCCCTTAGTGCCAATTGGGCATCGTTTAAATGCCACGGCCTACCTGAGCATTGTTTCTGACCATGTCCATCCCTTTATGGCCACCATATACCCATCCTCTGATGGCTACTTCCAGCAGGATAATGCACCATGTCACAAAGCTCGAATCATTTCAAATTGGTTTCTTGAACATGACAATGAGTTCACTGTACTAAAATGACCCCCACAATCACCAGATCTCAACCCAATAGAGCATCTTTGGGATGTGCTGGAACGGGAGCTTCGTGCCCTGGATGTGCATCCCACAAATCTCCATCAACTGCAAGATGCTATCCTATCAATATGGGCCAACATTTCTAAAGAATGCTTTCAGCACCTTGTTGAATCAATGCCACGTAGAATTAAGGCAGTTCTGAAGGCGAAAGGGGGTCAAACACAGTATTAGTATGGTGTTCTTAATAATCCTTTAGGTGAGTGTAGATTAGGACAAATATTTAACTCTTTATGAGCTCTTTCCTATCACAGAGGCCCCACATTTCCCCACGCATCCCTAACAAAAATCCAGCTCTGAGAAATGTTTCGACTCAAAAATGACATGATAAAGAACTAAATTAATAGACGGCAAGAATTGAAATTCAGTCCATGTTATCCCTACACAAAACACTCCCATCTGTATTTGTGAAAGACGAGAGGAAATTAAATGCATTTTTAACAACCCTCTTTTATGAACTGAGCTTTACAACATTACCTCCGAAAAGCCGTTTTCAAGGACAAGTGATTTCATGGCCTATGCAGCAAAAAAATGCTTAAAAATATTCCAAAATACTGCTGAGATGAACAGTGGAATAAACGGGATAAAGATGATAAAACGCTACTGTGTGGAAAAGTGCACGTAAGCATGGAGTCGCTCCTGAACGCCTTCATCTAAGACTGACACGCTGAACAATGGCTGGGGTTTTTCACAGTCCGCTGGCAGGACAGTTGGAGCCGTGCTGCGTTTCCAAAGAGCTGAAAACATGCTATAAATCTCAGTTTCTGCTGTTTTCTGGCACAGTGCACACACTCTCACGGCTCTCTGCTGGGGATACGCAGCACAGGACGGATTTCTACACGCAGGCCAAAGACGCCTGTAATACCGTTAGCATTCCCATGCATCTCAGCTGCAGTTGCCCGGCTGGCGCGTGGGACTGTGATGATATCGCTGTCAGATACAACGTGGCATTTACCTCCTTCACTAATAAGAAGAACGTGATGACAGGGTCAGTAGCAAGTGATGTGTCATATTAATCTACTCAGCAAAAAAGGCCGTATTCATGTAAATGCCACAGTGTCACCGTAGATTAAGGCCCAATGCTTCATTACAAAGACCTAAAACTAACTTTTTGCCTTCTACAAGGTCACACGTCTGCGAAACAAAGACACAGTGTGCTCACGTGCTTCACCAAACACAGATGACAACAGACACGGTTCATTCCACTGCAGAAATCCTTATTAAAAAAATATTTTAAGAAGAATCAAATTCCTCTGTTTTATCACTTGGACTTAAAGTCACCATGAAATCAAAATTTGCAGTTGTTATTTTTTATGGGATATTGCAGTATTTGTTCAAAATGATTTATCTGTGTACTTTATGACCCTTCAAGTTTTCAAAATACATCTACTCAGCTATAACTAAAGAGATCACGATTCTCACATGATTATGAAGACAACTTAAAAAACAACAACGTAATGACAAAAAGTCTATTTAAAAATGAATTCGAAAAAAAACGGTTTGAATGAATTATTTAACAACTCACTCATAAAGTCATCATTTCTTTCATTACTGGATGAATCAGCGTTTTTGAATAAATCTCTTGAATGAATGATTAAATGACAAATATAGGCTGCATCTGAAATCGCATACTTCCCTGCTATATAGTAGGCGAAAAACAGTATGCGACTCCACAGTACTCATAAAGAGTAGGCAAAAAGTACCCGGATGACCAACTTCTTCCGGCGAGATTCTGAAGTGTGTTTACGATGGACACTTTACTATCCCATGAGGCCACGGGAGAGGATTTGTGAATGGCCGTGAAGCGACCCAACTCACGCTGTAGGTCACATGATAGTGACAACATTGCGAATGTAGTACGTTCAGATTACATTCATACTACACACATTCATACTATATATAACAAACTTTTTTAGCGACCATGAAGTTATTACTTATTCAAAATAAGTACCAACTCAAGACAGTATGCGATTTTGGGTGCAGCCATAGTTTTTAACAGTCATTTGTCGCATCGCCACCTAGTGGCGTAACGATGTAATGATACAATATTTACTTTAAGCGCCATAAGGTGCATCAAGGTGATTTGCTCTATTTTGATCGCTACCGTGTTTATTTCTTAAATAAAAACTGTTATCCAAGGACTTCTGTTATAATTTGAATATTTGTAACAGAAATAACCATACCGTGAGGTTGAAAAGATATTTGTGAAGCTGTTTTATACCTATACATGACAACTGCTCTCTCTGAATCAGCGGCAGCGCCAACCCAGATCTGACTGTTCTAGTGCGAAGGTTCAATAGACACAGGCAAATCATTGTCATTTAGGAGTAATATCACATGTGGGTTTTCGAGTCGAGATCGCAATCTTTTAACGATTAATCGTATATATATATAGCAAACTGATTCAAACCAGCAACCGTAAGTGTTGTTGAATGTGTGTGTTACCACATTTACAGCTATTAGAAAGCAGATTTCTGTTGAAGTCATTTATTTACTTCCAAACTCAGGTGTGTATGTTATCAGAGCGTTCCCCAGAACTCAACAGGAAGTAGCGCTCCTCAAGCACTCATCTGTCCTCAGGGATTCATCATCCACCGCACGAGAGGGACATCTGTGTTTTATCTGAACCCTTTCCAAACACAACCAGAGCCCGAAGAGAGAAAGAAGCATGTGATCTGTAAACTAATAATTACAGCAGGTGGCAGATCCAGCATCATTCCTCACTAAACTGCATTTGGGAGAAAAACAAATCACCCACAAACTTGAGAACACATCGGTTGGTTTAGATGACAAGAGATTTATAAAATTGTTAACAAATGCACGGGACTGTTGAACAGAAATGACACAGACTTCCTGTGATATGTTGCATGTGTCTGGAGCAGGATTCAGCTGTGTGTGTCAGCGAGATGCCCAGTGTTGGTCTGTTCTCATTATCTCTGATGAATGTCTTTGAAGACCTCTTCTCAGCGAGCGAGGTCATTTGGGTGCCATCATGAAAGCCAAAGAAAGAATGTATTGCAAAAACAGACATGGTAAAAAAAAAAAAAAAAAAAAGGTTTCTCCTTACCTGGGATGACTTCAAATAGGAACTTTCCGCTCTCCTCCCCATTGCTGGGATGTTCGGTGACTCTGTTGCCAGGTAGGGAAATGGTGCCCTAGAGGAACCAAAAAGCCAAAAAATAAAAGAAATAGTCAGACACAAACTGCTGAAGAAAGCAAGACGTACGCGAAAAATAAATCACAGTAAGGAAAAAGCTCAGATGCATTGGAGAAGAGAATTGTTGGACTGAGGACAAATAAAAAATTAAATGTGAAAAATCCCTTGCTTGAGACTTATTTTTCAGTTATATATTTTGATTTTGATTTCAATTGAGTTTGATTTAATTTATAGAATTAAAAACTAATAATATAAAATAAAGTTTGGTTTAATATACATATCAAAATTATACAAAAATAATACCGTACATCAAATATAGCAAAACATAAATAAAAACATTTTTTATAAAAAGTTAACAGGTTAATTTAGTTTACTTTTTTATAAAATAAAAATATTTGTATAATATTTTTTGTTATATTTGATTTATTATTTTGATATAATTTTGATATATATTAGATCAAAAATAAAAATATTATATATACATACACACACTGATGGGCAGTAACGCGTTACTTTAATCCAATTACTTTTTTCAAGTAACGAGTAAAGTAAGGGATTACAATTGCAAAAACAGTAATTAGATTACTGTTACTTCCCCGTAAGCAGGCTCCGTTACTGCGTTAGTTAACCGTCATTTTGTTTCATGAGACTGTCTTGTGCCATGAGTCGTGCGTGAGTGACAATGATGTATGAGCGCCGCGACGTCAGTGGTAAACACCGAAATGTGTAGTGTTGAACAAGAGACAACATGGAGCGCGGGAGAGAGACACGCATTTGATTGGTCTCACACGCCACACCCCCGACTTCTCACGCTGAAGTGTCAACCCGGTCGGTCAAATGCCTGAAAGATGAGTTTATCTATAGATCTACCTGTTGAGCCACTCGTGATCGACTAGTAGTTATACCGCAAATTAGTTCTCCCGGAATCTAGAGCGAGCGTGCATGCGAGACAGAGACCGCGTAGCGCACGCGCACCCGCACCCGCAGAGATGGAGAGCTTCAGAGCGAGCGAGAGACCTTGCGTGTGTAGAGAGCATCCTGATCTAGAAACAGGACCCCCGTTGGAGAATGTCAAAATTCCACCTCAAATCTGAGCAAGCACCTAGCAAGAAGAAGGAAGAAGAAGGACTTTCTTTATTTCATTAAAATATGGTGGAATGTGCAGAAAATAGGTTTAAATGTTCATCAAAAGTCTGAGACTGTTGCATTTAATTTAATTGTTGCTTGATGCAATGTGCATAAAGTTAAAATATTGAAACTAATAAAACAAGTAAAAAAAAAAGAGAGTGTTTCATTTGATAAAATTTTAGATGATGGAATATGCAGAAAGAATAGAATTAGGCTGAAAGGTTTATTGCTTTATAGCGTATTCAGGTCGTGCATCATGTTTTTGAAAGGTAACTAAAGTAACTAATTACTTTTTGAAAATAAGTAATCAGTAAAGTAACTGGATTACTTTCTTGGAGAAGTAATCAGTAACTAATTACTATTTCCAAGTAACTTGACCAACACATACATACATACATACGTGTCTGTCTGTGTGTGTGTGTGTGTGTGTGTGTGTGTGTGTGTGTGTGCTGGGCATCTGAAGGCAGAAATCAGCAGCGCTGGCAGTTCAGAGGTTACAGATGGATCCCTTGGGGGTCTGTATAATAGAGCGCAGACTGCATTAGAGTCGACAAAGCTCTTGCCATTATGTAGAAATCGGATCCTAAGTAGCACTGCGACTGCTGTGGCATTATAGATCAGTGTTTGACACGCTGGATGAACTGGTGCTTTAAATAGACCCAACATCAGCGCACCACAAGGGCCATGTTACCACCACCAGAGCACTGGTAAAGCAGCCGGATTTCCCCCATTGCTCTCATCTGTCGGTCTCTTTATCCTTCTGATTTCTCGCCCTCCTCTAGCGATGATTTCTTCTATATTGGTTTGTATTTCTCTGTTTGTCATTTTATTTCTTATTATTACCATACTATCATGCAGTATGTGTCATGTGCACAGAATGAAAAAGTTCTGTATATTGTACCTCATCATCTACAATACTATATTTCAACATGACAGTATGATGTGATCGTACTTGTAGTCAAAGCTTTAACAGACATAGCCGAATCGGTCATGTAGGGATAAGATCGAATAGGTGTTCGAAAAGAGATCGCAATATTTTAAAGATTAATCGTGCAGCTCGAGTGAAGATTGCTTTAAGTTCACTTAAATTAAAAGTTGTTATACTCTTAAAGCCTATTAAATGTTACAAAGTATAGCTTTCAATTATACTGTTATGTTGAATGGCTATAATTACTCCTTTCATCTCCAGAAACTGAGAAAAATCTTGATTAATTGTGACTACAGAAAAATGTGATATATTTTGCAATTGATTGACAGCTCTAATATATATATATATTATTTTCCAGATAATATTTACACATATTTTTTACATTTTTATTTTCTAGAGAAATTTCTTCAAATTTCTAAAAAAATTGTTTTTACAGATCAAAATAAATTGCTGTCTATATTTTAAGAAGGGGTCTCACACAAGGGGATCAGCATATTGGGGTCTATAAAAAAAATGTATGTGATTATTATTTTGTACCTTAAATAAGGGTCTAACCGCTTGAAGGGAATTTCCCACTATTTTACCGCCAGGTGTAACTTCATCCTTCTATTTAAGTGACAGAATCAAGATACAAATGACTGACAGTCACAGACGGCACAATGAACGCCATTAACACAACACGTGTTGAGCAATGTTTTCATATAGATTTCAATAGTAGCATTACAGTACGCGCTAGCAAACTGGGGTTATTTACGGTATGCAGGGAAACAACTGCAGAGGTCTAAAGTAGTCACCTTTGAGGGAGAGTATTTCATATATGTGCTATAGTGGGGCTTAAAAGGCACATTTTCATTGGGAGAGAGAGAGCTCAGTTACTTCCTCATCAAATATCAGTGCATATGTTCCGTATCCAGTATCTCGACATGCTTGGAAACACTGAGAACATTTAGGATGCAGAGATTTAAGAAGGATACTTAACATAGCGGCTGATACATTATTTAAATCTCTCCACTACTTTGGTTACATGATATTATCAGAATCTTAATGAAATTGTAAGATTAATAAAAACTAAATAAAAAAATGCAAGGGTGCACTAAATTGATCAAAAGCAATAGTAAAGACATTTATGTTACACAAACATTATATTTCCAATAAATGCTGTTCTTAGTTTGGACTTTTCTATTCAAAGAATCCTGAATAAAGTATCACAGTTTGCAAAAAAGAATAAACAGCAAATCAGCAAATTAGAATGATTTCTGAAGGATCATGTGACGCTGAAGACTGGAGTAATAATGCTGAAAATTCAGCTTTGCGTCGCAGAAATAAATTGCATTGTAAAATATGTTCAAAAAAGAAAACAGTTATTTTAAATTGTAATACTATTTCAAAATGTTAGTTTTTACTGTATTTTTTATCAAACATATGCCGCCTTGGTGAGCATAAGAGACTTTTGAATGGTAGTGTCCGTCTAAATTCCTGGCTGTAAATATAAGCGATATAGTGAGGTCTGACTTAAAGCAGCACTAAGTAGGAATTCCGTTTTTGTCAAACAGCGACCCCTAGAGTTGCTGTGGAGTACTTGTACTGTCGTGAATAGCACTCACGCAGAGATGGCTCGCACTCACGGCCGGATCCCCTCCCCCTGTACACCGGTACCTGTTCAGTAGGATGGACGCTGTAACGAGTGGAAATAAGGTATGGCGCCTTTAAGAGCTGCGCGCGCCCTGTTTAACTGTCGGCAGTCTGTATTGTATGTGCGCCTCGAACACCACATGTATACGGCGCCGGGTTATTTCTGTTTGATGCTCATTTTATCAGAATTTTATCAGATCTATTTTTTGCCGTAAAGCAATTCGTTACCTCGCGAGACCTGATATCATCACACGATACTACTTCCTAACACTGAGGCCGGCGACCCGCCGGCCCAAAGTTGCAAGGGTGGTTTTGCGGCTCACAGGCACCAGGGGGGTGCGAGACGACCACCATTAAACACGAAATCAGTAATATAAACATTACAATGACTCCAAAGCTGTTCGGTTAAGGTAAAAAAAGTTACTTAGTTCACCTTTAATAACGAGTTTGGGTTTTCATAACGAAATCATAAACATGCAGCAGTGTCCATAAATGTCACAAGCCAGTTGTCGTTTTCTAGACTTCATGGAGTCTTTGAACCATTAGGATCGGTTTACTATGATATAAGACTCAGTAAAGTCCTTATTAAAAATACTTGGTCTAGATTGTAGGGTTCCTGGATGTAAGTGGTGCCTGTCATGGTAATACGAGTGAAATAAGTAAAAAGCAGCCACATATGACGATCATTACACAATGACCTCTTCCCCCGGGGTTTTAAAGTCTCTCTGCATGTGGTGCAGAGACTTGCCTCTGTTAAAACATCATAAACCTTTACGAGATCTGAAAGCGGGATCCTGCTGACAGTGCGTTCAAGTTGAACTCGAACTTCTTAAGCGGCGGAAACTCTACCTGCCGGAACATTGGTGGGGCTCATGAAGATAGCACAAATTTCAACCCACAATGAGGCAGGTCACCAGTTTGATGTGGGCAGCAGTTCCTGTTTTAGAACCGGAGGCTTGAGGGTGGGTTGCTAAAGACATGGGCCCTTCAATTAAAGGCATTTTTGTTGCCCCCAGAGGCATTCCATGTGGAAAAACATGGAAAGACACATCATCAAAAGGCCGGGAACAAAACCCCGGCCCATTCCAGAGCAGAGGAACCATGCGTCTCCTTGTCACACTTCCTTGCTGACACTACACTAAGAGATGTGAAAGAATTTGTATTTGCTTTGGTGAACAACAACAATGATCATGATATGTGGAGTATGGCCCAAAGCATGCTGGGATTACTCAAGCATGCCAACTTTCATATATAACCTACATTTTAAGTGTACTATTCTGATCTGTATTTGGCCATTTAAAAAAAAATAC